AAAAAAATTAGGTCTTAATTGTAATTCTCATAATTTCTGGTGAGATTCTGTGTATACCATCTCATAATGAAAAGTCATAAAAATGTATGTATATTTGAATTTTGCAGAATTTTGAAAAATTAAACTATGTTTCCGCCATTTTACTGTAAAAACCCGAAGTCTGGTAAATCCTAAGTTTTACCAAAGTAGCTTGGTCCGAAGCACACTTTGATATGTTTCTATTTCGAACATTTAATTTACCGAGCCTTTGCGGTAAAACCTAGGAGTTACCAGCACCTTCCGGTAAAAGCTCGAAACGAGGGATTACTCAGGATAGGATTTTCCATTCGCAGATATATTATATTGAGTACTGTTTCGTTAAAGGGGACTACAAAAAGATAGCCAAATCAAGGTGAATGAATTCGTGACCACAATGGCAAACCTTCACTTCAACGGTCAGTATTAGGAATACCGGGAGCAATGGCACCTAACATTAAAAAAATGAGTGTTGAGCTGTTGGGTATACTGGACAGTGGCACTTAACTTTACCTGCCAGTGGCACTTAACTTTAAAAAAAATTAAAATTTTAAAAAAGGCAGGCAAATGTACACCGGGTAGTGGCATTCAACCTTTAAAAGGAAGAAGGAAAAAAAACATTAGTGTAGGGCAGTGTTTCCCAAAGTGTGGTAAGCGTACCCCCAGTGGTACGGGAACAGTTTAGCTGGGGTACACGTTCTTATTCGAAATATCTTGCAACTAACGAAAATTTCGAAAATTTTTATTTAAAAACTAAGCTAGCCATGAAAATTTACGATAACGTATTTTTCTATTAGCTATTTTTTGCAGAGTTAACAGTTAATAATTAGTGGTGTCAAAAGCCAGTTATGACTTTTAACTTTAGTGCAATTTTTTTTATAGTAAAAAATACATTAATTTTTTTATTAGTGGCACACAGCGTTATGATAAATTTAGAAAGGGTACACAAAAGTCATAAGTTTGAGAAACACTGGTGTAGAGTATGGGGTATTCGGGCAGAAACACTTAATTTTAAAAAAGTATCAGTATAGAGTATACTGGGCTGTGGTACTTAATCTTATAAAAAACATGAGCGTAGGGTATACCGGGCAGTAAAACTTAACTGTAAGAAAACATTAGAGTAGGATAAACCGGGCAACGACACTCACATCCTTTGATTAATCAGATTATACGAAATAATAAACCGCGATTATAATATTTTGATGATTATGTTAGGTGTTTGATTTGGCGAAAAAATTTAATCGCGGCTTACTGTCCCCCAGAAGAGTACCATTTATTGTATACAGTTTGTTTTAAAAAGGTTAAAACAAAATTTAATTTTTTTAATTGAAAATATAAATAGTAGATGTGGTCAAAATAAGGTAAGGCCTCGTTTCGGGATTTTAACGGAATGCGTTGATAACTCTTATAGGTTTTAACGCAAATGCTTGGTATTTAGTCCGAAATGTAATCATATTAAAGCATACTTCTGACTTTTATTAAGCCACTTCGGTAAATCTCAAGTTTCACCGGCAAAAGCAAGATTTACCAGACTTAAGACTTTTACAGCAACATATCCAAGGATATGTGAATCCGAAGTCTCACAGAGAGGGACTTGTTCTTAGGATAATTTGTAGTTATTATTCGCAGGGCAAACAATAGCATGATTGACAAGGCAGAAACCATGATTTTTTTAAACAGGATTTTTATATAATTAAATCAAATTTTCTTTTTATTTAAATTAGATGTTTGATGTTTACATAAACTTATCAAAGCTGAGATAAAATATATTAATAATGCTTAATACTATTTAAAAACAAAATTGTAACTAAAGTAATTCATGTTTCTAAATGTAAAGCACTCCATGTTTAAAATAATTTCTCACAGGCGTTGATCAAAATAATGGAAACACGTCTATACTAACTTAACGTAAACAATTTTTCTTTAATCACCAAATGTTTTTAAAGATTTAATCATGGCAAAACTGTTGATCATGGCAAAGTGTAATTATTTTTCTTTTGTATTTTTTAATTTAAGTGTCATTTGCTAAAAAAATAACTAATTATAACAAAAGTGTAACACATAAGTAGTTAACACTTTCTCACTGTGTTGAAAATACAGGGGTCTGTTTAGAAGTCACGAAATATATTTTCATAAAAACGGACCCTTCACAAAATATTTTTACTTAAAAACGGACCCTTCACAAAATGATTTTTCTTTAAATCGGACCCTTCACAAATTTGTTTATCTTCATTATAGTTTTGTTAATTGAATAAACCCTTTATAGGGCAGAAAATAAGAAAGATGGATATAAACGAATAAGGTTTTGTCTTCGGCAGACGATTCTTCCATTATTCGTCCGAAATGAATATTTTGCATATAGGCTAAATACCAAATATTTGTATGCTGCATCTCTAAATTAGAAGCAGCAATTGCTGTTTATTTCTGAAAATTTAATTTTTTTTAATTATAATTTTACAGTGCTGAGCATAATCTTGTATCTATTTCCAATTTAAAAACTCCTTGAAAAAGTTTTTTGCAATAACCGGACCCTATTTGCACAAATTCATAAAAGCAGGGCCCAGTAATGTGAGTAATTTTTTCACAATTTCACAAAAACCGGACCTTTCACAAAATGCCTGGACAGACCCCTGAAACAGAGTTCTCAAAGAATAATACACATAAGTTAAATAAATATTCGAAATTTTCTTATTTTGGGATTTTTTTAATTTCCTTTTACTTATTTTTTTATGTAGTAATCTTTGACATTGTCTAAAGGCTATTATACTTTGACATTGTCTGCATGATAGTTTTATAGATATTTTTTTCAATAAGAATTAATAAAATAAAAAATCTGGGACCTTCATTTGAATTTAATACAGAAAATTGAATCTCTAGTTCTAATGTATGAAAATCGCATACTATGTAACATTAATAAGCCAAAGCTTTCGCAACACCTCGTAACTTTTCTAAACAACAACAAAAAAAAGTAATAACACAGGAGAGCAATTGAATAAACAAACGATTAATAAGAAAAACTTTCTAGCGCAGGCGAACGATTAATCGTTAGAATGCATGATTGGCGTGAAGCATGCATAAATTCAAAATCTCTGACATGCTGCAATCGAGGAGAGTAGTTCCTCGGGGCATCCTTACCTTCCCACGCCGTTATCCACTTTCGACTGACCTAATTCATGGATTTTATTTCTTTCGTTATTTGGTGTTTATTTTCCTTATGGTCTCACTATGAAATGCCCCTCCCCCAACCGCAGGAAATAATACTCGTTTCAATTCCCCCCCCTCCCTAATACAACACTTGTCCCGCCCAGTTAACACAGTCTAGGGGCCCATAAAGGTAGCATCCGTATTGTGTAATTGTGAGTGTGTGAATGGAACAAGAAGAAGAAAAAAAAGCATAAGTAGTACTACTGAAATAATTATGGACGGTTGAGATAATGGTTTTTCGGGTAGCAATGAAATAAAGAAAAAGTATATAAATAAGTAAAGGTGTTATTAGTAACCCTTTTATTTCAAGCGAAAACCTTGAAAAAGTCAGGGAATCTTTGACTTTTTTTTTCTTTATTAAACCGACGACAATGGGTCTCGAAACGCGATTTATCCAACACAATCGTTCTAAAAACAAGTACTGGCTTACTAAAATAATAATAAAAATAAATAAATAAAAACTAAGAATAAAATATCTGAGTTGAACGCCCTCCACGCGCCACGCGTGTTCCAATTCCTCACCTGAAATCTGAACTATCAGTTTACAGGGTAGTAGAAACCAACCAGCACGGCAGCGTGCGCTGCAGATTATCACAGTATATTCAGATTGATTTCGACGCTCGGAATGATAACTTCAATATTACTATCATCAATCAATTATTCCATTCATATTTATCTATTATTATTTGAACATTATCATCTACAAGCTCAGCAAATTTAGGTTTTCGTTTTACGAAGAAAGCTGCAGATTGATTCGGCAAATCCAAGCAGCTTGGGAACAGTTTGATATCCAACCCACACCTAAATTATAGGGTGAAAATGTACATTCATAAATCTAAAAAATAAAGAGAAGACTCTTAAAAGAACTCCTGTCTTAAACAATAAACTATCGAAGAATAACTCGTAAAATATTTTATTTAAGCAAAAAAATAGGGTTGAATAACTTTAAATACCGTATATCTCGGTGTATAAGTCGTTTCGTTTTTATAAATCGACCCCCTATATTTGAAATCGAGATGAAGCCGATTTTCTCAGCATATCCATTGCAGAGTGGGATCCGTATGACAATGCTGCTATAACGTTAATGAATCCGGCTAAAATGATCTGAACACGTTAAATTTGTATCTTTATGGTACGTTTTAAAAAATTTTCATTGTGTTACAGTTTTTAAAATACTCTAGAATAAATTATCATAATTTTTTTTAAATCTTAATTTTTTTCCTTAATGTAATTTAAATTATTGTTTCTAAAATAAATACTTTTTTGTAAAAGAATTATGAGAGAAAATGCAAAATTGCATAAAACATAATAAAAATATTTTTTGGAAAGGGTAATTTGTAAAGGTAAATTGATACATAGTCTCTCATTGCCATATCTATCTCATAGTTTTATGATAACATCGATATTTCACGATCAACGAATGTCCGACTTTATTACCGATATATTAATCGACCCGCTGTGTTTCGTAAAATTTTGGGGGTTTGAACAGTCAACTTATACACCGGTATATACTGTAATTCATTTTCTATTAAAGAATTTCTATCAATTAGAACAAAATATCAAATCGTGGGAATGGCTCAGCAAATGAAATAAACAAGGTGACATATTTAAAACACTCTAATATCTCCTCACAATACTGACTTCAACTTTCAGTTTAATCCTTTCCAATATTTATCAGCGTTTTTGATAAAAGTACAAGGACCGAAAAAGATAAGCACTGTCGTGAATATGATAATTTTGACACGAAGCAATCGAAAAAAGAAGAAAAAATTTTAACTTACCTGCTGATAGAGGCATCGAAGCTAAATACCGACTGTGATAAGCAGCTGATAATGTTGAAGCATCCGATCCAGGAGGTCGGCATATATCACCATAAGGTGGCCTCAGTTGTTGAGAATTCGGATGACCAGAGGCCGAGCCATCCAGGGAAGCATAACCACTGGAGAGTAATCTTGCGTGGTCTACCGACAGATCATGCCTGCCGTCCATTCTTCCAACTGGATAAAAAGTTTTGTAGAAAACCAGTAAAAGGTTTACAATTTGCAGGTGGTTATATCCTGTTGGTAAAGTGGAAGCTTGGCGGACCTAGATTTAGGGACCCATCACTATCTTAGGGCGGGCCCTCGCCCTGAGTAAATGCGTCTGGGTGAAATAGAATCATTTTTGGTATTTCATATATGAGTTATTGCAATAGGTCCGTAGTAAATATGTGAGAGGATCAGTTGTTGAGTTCTTCACATTAAAATCTATTTTAACCGATTCTTCGAACAGGTTTTAATATTCTGGATTCCACAATCGTTCAGGCAATCATAACAGGATGACTCTGCAAAGGAAGAAAAATATATTTGTAAAAATTAAAAAAAATCCACGGAAAATACAGCAGTGAACTTAAAACCAGAGATAAAGCTTGTTAATTGAGACGAATTTATAACACATATAATACTCTTATAACATATTAACTACGCACATTTAACACACTAGAATTAATGATTGAATATTAAAACAAAAAAAAAACCACAATTATACAACTTAATACCTCATTTTCATTTTTCTGCGCAATTTTTAAATTTGATAGGTTTCAACAATCATTTATTAATAAACTAAATTAAATTTAATTTTTTATACATTTTTTTTTTCTTTCACGATTTTAGAACGAGGGAAGAACGCGAGCTATCGATTTTCAAAGCGATTATCTTTAATAACGAGTATAACAAAAATTTACGAAAAATACCCCTCGTAACTACAGAGTACCCACTGTTGGCTTAGTAGTTAAGAGGACGCATCATGGCGGGAGAAAATTTTGGCCGCAAATTCAGTATCCACTGTTGGCTTAGTGGTTAAAAGGACGCATCACCGCGGGAGAAAATTTCGGCCGCAAATTCTCTTTCACCTCCATAACTAATTTAAAATTTAAAGTAAAGAAAAAGTGAGTTCAAACAAACGTAGAGTAATCCATGAAGTTTCAATTGCTGATAACAAAAATATCAAAAGGCGAACACATAATTGGAAGAGAACTTCTCCATTGTGTAATCCTAAGTTATCTTCTCATATTTTATTATCATTTCGATATTTTAAAAATTTCTTTTCAGTAATTGAAACTTCATGGATTACTCTACGTTTGTCTGAACTCACTTTTTCTACACTTTAAATTAGTTATGGAGGTGAAAGAGAATTGCGACAAAACGTTTCTCCCGTGGTATAGCGTCCTCTTAAGGCACTGAACTGCCAGAACGAAGAGCTGGGGTTCTATCAGCAGTGGCCATTGCATCATATCGATGGGTACCAGTTTACATGAGAAATAACGGCTGCTCACAATCATGCTGTTGGCGAGCAATTGTAGAGCCTTAACCTCCCGGGCCTAAAACGGGCTGCATAGCTTGAATACTTTACTTTTTTATTATTTTTACTCTCAGTAAAATTTTAAGGAGCGAAACTCAAATCCGATGAGCCAAATGCTAGTCTAGATACGTATTGGCTAATTCTGCGTGGGATAATAATATTACACAGAATAACTTACGATTTTAGAATATTACTAACGATCATCATTCGTTCGTAATCTTTAGCTTCAGTCTCGAATCACAAACATAGTTGTGTAATATTCGACTGGCGCTTAGTTATAATAGTCAGCACAGAGAAGTTGTTAACCTATACATATGTTACCGGCAAAGTATGAAACGCCGGTATTCTATATAATGCTTTGGCATTGTTTAAAATGCCAGACGTTTTTTAGGCAAAGTATGAAATATGAGAATTATTGCATACTTTCCTTAGGCACTGTATTTAATATCTAGACATCCTATAGAATGGCAAATACTATTTTGGCAAAGATAGAAAAAAGGTCCTGATGAGGTCAAATATGTCCAAATATGTGACACTGATGTCCAAATATCTGACACCTCAGAACGAATTGCTAAGTGCAACGGACAATTTCTGAACCTAAGGCGCAAATGTAAGACACGATATTCGATAAAAATCGTAAATGTATCTCATACTTTGTCGGTATCTCATTTGGCATTCTATAGAATGCGTAAGAAATGTGTCAAATAAGATTAGTTTCATACATTGCCGACTAGTTTTAGGCTTAATATACAATGTTGGTAGCATATATAGAACTTTGCTGGTAGCATATATAGAAAGCACATATATCTTTGATTAAAGTAATGGGTAGGTATTTAATATGCTTCATAAAAAATATAATTATCTAAACTAGATTTAAGAATTTAATAAAATTAATGAGCTAAGCCCGTTAAAGTTCCAAATAACATTCCGAAAAAGCGTAAATTTGCGGGTTTAAAACATGTACATCTTCAATCTTCTTTCTGCCAGGTCGTTAAATAAGACAATTTTTAATCGGAAAATGCGTTTCGAAAATAGCTTGCGGTAGCTATGTTTTCTAAAGTTGACGGTAATAAATTACATATCATTCAAAAACCTCCTTCAAATATGCCCGAAAATATTTTTTTTTTAGTTACAAGAAGAAGAAAAATTAACTTGCAAGCAATTAGATTTAAATTCCAACTTTCGAATTCGAAATAAAAGCAGCAAATGACTTAGCAAATTTTCCGGATAAATGAAAGATATGCGTTTTATAACAACAGATGATGTAATTTTAAAAATTGTACAGTCACCGTTCCCTCCGGCTTTGTAATAAAGCAAATTTTATCAGCCAATGATAAATGTACGTGACTCAATTTCTAAGGGACCTGCCAACGTCTTTTAATGTATCACGCAATAAAAAGCCCATCACGGACGATCTGATATTAAACAAGATGTTTTGCGTGTATCATTGAGTAGGTCATCTATTCAAAGGGAAATAGCGAAAAAAAAATTAATTAGTTGATTAAAAACTTTTGATTTCATAAAAAAATTACTAAAGTACGTTTATTGCATGGTTAAATAAAAAATAAAAGGAATAAATCCATGTTCAAGACATTTCAGAATAAATTGAAAATCAAGTCTTTTTTAGAATCAAGGCATTTTCGGAATGATTAGGCAAAATATCATTTTCATCGAAAGAAATAGTAATGAAAAAAGTGATTAAAATAAAAGTGCTTTGAAAATGTCTCCTGATATTTAAGTACTATATAAGAGCTTTTTATTGGTATCTCCTTAAAGATATATGGGGTTTGATTAGTCCTCTAAGTTAGCGTACTCGACAAACTAATGACTTTTTAAGTAATTGGTGCCTTAAGCAGCGGAGTTATGGAATCAATTTTAAACTTTTAAAAGAATAAGAAATTTAACACATATTTAGGGTAACGCAGTATTTTAAAATAGTTTAAAAGCTGTGCATAACTTATTTATCAAACTTTAATCGAAAATATAAAAGCAGAATTTTCTTTTACTTTAAAAACGAGCAAATGTCCATTAAAATGTCCATGTCCGAGCAAATGTCCATTTTTTTTTAAAAAGCGATTACTAATTTTTAACTTCATTTTTTTTAAAAAAAAAAAACTACCAACTTACATACATTTTTCTAGTGGCAAATTATCCTATTATAGTTCCTAATATGCGAAACTTAAAAATTAATTTTATCGTAATTCATATCGAAAATATGAATGCAATGTTCAGCTTTACTTATAATAATAATAACAGCCTTAGGCACTCGGAGCTTTTTTTCAATCAACGTTAGTTAACAAGTCTTAAAAGGTAACATTAATGTCTTTCCATTTAAAATAAATAAATAAAAACTTCACAGTAAAACAATAACATATGGGATAAAAGTTTTTTTATTTTTTTTGTCGCTTTTGGTGTGAAGACTTTGGGGCTATAAAACTTGACTTTTTTTTGATTAAATACTTTTTTTATTATTATTATGGCAAATAACGTATCACTAAATTTATTAGAATATAATCACTAAATTGGCGAAACTTTAGTGTTAAATTTAAAGTAATGTTATATAAAAAATGCCGAAGTGAAAATATACAATTCTTCATCCAGAACGAAATATAAAAAAAATAATAATTACAAACAACATTGTAAACAATTTTCATGAATCAAATTTTATCGTAGTTCACAAATGATATTTGCGTTACCTCGTCAGATTCAAATTTATTATATTTGTGATTTGTAATTATCAAAAAAATTATAAATTACGAATCAAAGTGAATAAATATATTTCGAATAAAACTTAAGACTTCCATTTCGCAATTTTTCAACTATTGATATTAAAATTTAAAAAAAAAAAAAAAAAAGTAAAAANAAAAAAAAAAAAAAAAAAAAAAAAAAAAAAAAAAAACGGAACAGTAAATTTAAGCTATTAAATGTTTAAACTATCACTTTCCTAAAATTTAGTAGTTTAGTTTTTAATTAAGTTGAACTAATTAACATATATCATAAATGTTATTTTAAATAACTCATACTAACACTTTGTTTAATTATCACTAAATAGAGCAAATGCTATTTAATACGAGAACATTGTGTTGGGAAAATGCCAGTCATTTTCAAAACTAGAATTTTGACTACTTTTATAATATTAATTATTACCTTATTAATCACTTTTAAATTCACCAGAACTCATTAAAAATATAAAGACAAAACTTAAATCTTGCATGCATAGAAAAACTATGGCTGTTTTACAACTTTTGACAGATAAAACATTTGATTACCTTTCAGTCATCAAATTATATTTAGAACAACATGGTTAACATATGTGCACAGTTAAATCAAAGCAGACGTTACACATTATCTGGGACTGTTGACCGAAGTGGCAACGACCTATTCAACGCTTTTATTCGTGAATTTACACAAAAAAGTATAACGATAAAAGTTGTTGCAATATTTCTAACGGAACAAAAGATGTTATTGCTCAAATAACAACGGTTTCTAAAATAAACAGAAGGTATTTTAGAGAATTATAGGTTGTGGTGGCAATCACGGAAGTAAATGAAATGAATGAAAACTAAACAATGCACTAATGCGAAACAATATATGTTGTTTTGATAAATAGGCATGAGATGTGAGCTTACAAATAATCCCCGTGGCAGAATTTTTTCGGGCTTTCAGCGACATACCTCTCTTAATACTAATATCTTTCTGCAAGATATTTAACAATAACAAATATACAAACTTCAAAATATATATAACTAAAACTTCCAAAAAAAAATTACATTAAATAAATAAATAAAATTTGGATCAAATAAAATAATTTTTTTAAATTGAATATGTGATTTTTTTTCTAATATTATGGGCGATATTCTCGCATTTTGTAGAAAGATAACACAGTAATTATTTCTTTTTTTGCATTTTATAATTCATCATCACATTAAAAAAATAAAATCGTAAAATCTGTAGCAACAACTGCCAAATAAAAGATAGACGACG